TTCATCCAAGGTCACAAAGCTATTAAGTGGCAGGTCCAGAATTGGAAGCTAGCAGCATTGGCTACCCAAACCCGTGTGTTTAACTCTTGGACTCCCTGGTGCTTCGGGGAGTAGGCGCTACTGATGAAGCCACCTGAAGCAAGTTGCCCAGGTGCTCGCTGTGGGACGGGAAGGCAGGAAGGCAGTGACTGGCGAGCCCTGTTCCCCAGCTCACAGCTCTATACTGCCCGCAGTGTGCCAGGTTGGAGGCTGCCATTGCCGAGGCCGAGGATCATGGGGAGCTGGCCCTCAAGGACGCCCGTGCCAAGCAGGAGGAGCTGGAGGCCGCCCTGCAGCGAGCCAAGCAGGACATGGCGCGGCAGCTGCGCGAGTACCAGGAGCTGATGAGCGTGAAGCTGGCACTGGATGTGGAGATCGCCACCTACCGCAAGCTGCTGGAGGGCGAGGAGAGCCGGTGAGGACGGGGAAGCGGGGAAAGGGATCCTTCTGGGGCTTGACCTTCATCCATTTGCAAGCATTTCCCCTGCGTCCCTCCTCTGCGGGGCACTGGGGCCGGGGCTGCAGGGGACCCAGAGCTGATACTTGATCCTTTGCCCTCAGTGAAGGCCCCATGTAGTGTAAAGCTCATGGGGAAGCTGAAGTGAAACAGCCCCTTTGTGAGTGTGGCTATCAGCAGGGTTATCCCTTCTGATCCTGAGAGTACGTTCAAGTCATCAGGTCAGATACCGATTCCCTAGTCTGTGGAGGGGAACACAGTGTTTGGTTTCCTTAATTGAGGGAACAGGACAAGTGTGCAGTCAAGGTCTGCTGATTACTGGTCCAAGTGTCTTCCATGACATGAGGAAGTGACACTTCTCACTACATAACGACACTTCTCACAACATAAGTGCTATTGACCGGACGTGGTAGAGGAGAGTAATGTCTGTCCGCGGAGAGGCTTGCATACTCACTTGGAGTCCGAGTGGAGGCTGGGACGGGTTAGTCTGGGAGGGAATTCTGCGTGAGCAGCAGTGGCGCCTCTCTGTGAAGGTGGGTCTTCCTGTGCGCATCGTACGTAGGTTGGTTGATTCGTTCAGTCAACAGACAAGGCTTTAGAGTTCTGCCTTGGGGGAGGCGAGGATTTGGAGAGGGTGAGAAGCAACAGCGCTGGCCCTCGGGGAGGTTGCAGATCAGTTGAGTAGAGAAAACATCGCAAAAGAAGCCCAGGGAGACCAGTAACTTGCATTTATAAAATGTTGAGTTTATAAAAGAACTTTTTCTTTTCTGAGCGTTATTCCTGAGGGGCTGGGAAGAGGCAAACAGAGCAGAGAGGAAAGAGCTGGGGCACGAAGGGTGCTGGGCAGAGGCCTGGATATGGCGGGGTGCGGGGAGGACACATGTCACAGGGTGAGTAGGGGCATGGAGGAGAAGGGGCTCTGCCCTGCAGTTGGTGCACCCCCTTCCCAGGGTTGGCACCGGCCTTCTTTGTGGGAAGAGGGATGAACACCAAAGGGCTCCGGGAAGAGAGAAGCTGACGTGGGTATAGGGCAGCTCCAGCCAAGATGCCTCTCTCTGCTCCCTCCTCCCCCGTGGGCACAGGGCCCCCACTTTCTCTGGAACCCATACCCTGGGCCTTTTTTTTGAGAGAGAGAGAGAGAGAGAGTCCCACTCTATTGACTGGGCTAGAGTGCCGTGGCGTCAGCCTAGCTCATAGCAACTTCCAACTCCTGGGCTCAAACGATCCTCCTGCCTCAGCCTCCCTGGTAGCTAGGACTACAGGTGTGTACCACCATGTCTGGCTAATTTTTTCTATTTTTTAGTAGAGACAAGGTCTTGCTTTTGCTCAGGCTGGTCTTGAACTCCTGAGCTCAAGTGATCTTCCTGCCTCAGCCTCCCAGAGTGCTAGGATTATAGGCGTGAGCCACCGTGCCCAGCTAACCTGGGCCTTTCTTCCTCATAGAAGTCAGAGTTGGGGGACCCTTAGAGTGGGACCTGATCCAGCTTCTTCCTGTGGGCAAATGAGGGGACCGAAACTCAGAGATGGCCATTGGTATGCCCAAGGTCACACAGCGAGTGGGAGACATCCCCTTCTGAGAGCCTCTTCCCAGTCCAGGTTGCTATAATTAGGCTTAGATCCTGATTCTCTGAGAGGGTATCATCCCCTTCCCACCCCTGGGAGGACACTTTGCTTTTATCCCTTAACACCTCAGCTCTTTCCAGGGGCAGATCCAGGAGTTGTAGTCCAGAAACCCCTATAAATTGGGGGGCTTTCTTTAAAAATACAAAGTTACAAATAAAAAATTGAGCATGAAACTAATACTTATTTAGAATGATAAAAGAAAAATCACACAAATCACTAGAGCCTTGGAGGTTCAGGGCTCTTCCTTCTGAGTTCTTTAGGCATCCTACCAGAAATTCTCAGAGTTGCTGCCTAATTGCAACCTGGTTACTCTTCCCCACCCACAAGTGTCAGCAACTCCCAGCATTTGCAGGGATCATTAGAACAAGGCCCCTTGAAGCTTCTAGAAAACCCTTCTCTTGCCCTTGGCCTTTGTTCTGCTCCATTCCTGGGCTTGGGGCTGCAGAGGCCAGCTGGGCTCCCTTTATTTCCTCCACCAAAGTGAGGTACCTCTCCTCTCTGCAAAGCAAACTGAACCCCCAGGGCCAAGGGCCTGGTGACAATGGGGCTGTGAGTCACAAAACAAACATACCCAGCTGTCTCAGAGAGATTTTTAATTTCCACTGAAAGACCTGTTCCAGCCCCACCCCTGCCCCCACCGCCATTCAATCAGTCAGCAATTCACTAATTATTTCAACACACATTAAGCACTTATTAATACTTTGCCAGGCCTCATGCTAAGGGCTAGAGATACAAGTATCAATAGGTTACAGACACCTTCAAGATTTTATGATCTGGTGAGGGAAGGTGGCCATCTATCTACATAAATAATAAGTGTGGTTCCCATTCACTGATCCTGGGCGCCCAGGGCTTTAGGCAAATTATATCATCTAACCCTCACAAACAAGCCTATGACCTTGGTCCTGTAGTTGGGCCCAATTTATAGGGGGGAAATGGAGGCTCTGAGACATTGCCTGAGTCATGTGGCCAGTAGGTAGAAGGACCAAGGTACACCCTCCCTTCTCCCACTCCTGCTTACTCCACGACAAGGCTGAGGGCTGGAAGTTGGGGTCCTGCTTGGGCCTGGAATGAGGGCGCTGAGGGAAGAGCTGCTCTCACTGGTCTGTCCTCTGCCCCCAGGTTGGCTGGAGATGGAGTGGGAGCCGTGAACATCTGTAAGTCCTTGCTGCAGGCCACAGGAAGTGTCCCCTGTGCTGTCCAGAAAAGGCTGGGTCTGGAGAGCGGCAGATGGGGCCCAGGGTCCTGCTGGTGGAGGCCAGAGCCTCCTGCCTTCCCACGGCTTCCAGCAGGTCCCCTGGAGCACACTTATAGCCAGGCTCAATGGCCCCCGGGGCGGTGCAGGAGGGCGGGGTGGGGCAGGGAGCACCTGTGGAGTGGCCGCCACCTCTGTCAGAGGCTCCTTTTGGGCTGGCCTGTGGAGGGAGGCAGAGGGGAGGCAGAGGGGAGGCAGGGGAGAGGGAGGGGAGCAGCTGGGGCAGGAGGGTGGGGGATCAAGGGAAGGGGTGGGGTGCCTGGTGGGGGGCCTCCCACTGACAGGGGCCCTCCTCCCTTCTCTCTCAGCCATAGTGAATTCCACCGGTGGCGGTGGCGGTGGCGGGCTGGCCTTCGGGGGAACCATGGGCAGCAATGCCCTGCGCTTCTCCAGCAGTGCGGGCCCCGGGGGCCTGCAGGCCTATTCCATCAGGACCGCCTCCACCAGCCGCAGGAGTGCCCGCAACTGAGTCCCATTCCTCTGCCCACAGTCACAGGAGGGCCCCATCCACGCCTCCTTTCCCTGGTCCCAAGACACTCTGAAAAATGGTATCAGAATAGCTTCCAATAAAGCAGCCTCTTTGAGGCCTGGGTGATCCCTATGCTGGTGTCTGGTCTCCTGGCTTCATTGGCTGGCGGGGAAGGGGCTGGGGAGTCGGAATAGAGAGCAGGGCCTGCCTTGGTGACCAGGAAGCCTGAGTGCAGGAGGCTGAGAAAGCACATGGCGATGGGGCTGCAGCTCTGAGGAAGGGGAATCTATCCAGTGTGAGGCTCGGACTCCTCCCAGTGTTGCTCCTGAGGAAGCCTGGAAAGGCCACAGGGAAGTTCTGGCTCTGCTAGCCAGTGGGCATTGGAGTCTCCCCCTGCCAAGGGGGGGGGGAGGCTGTGTGCACCCTTCCCCCATGTCCTGTGCTGCCAGGGTGCATTCCTCTTGTGGTGAGAGGGCCACAATGTTCAGCCGCCTCAGGCCTGGGTTTCGGGTGGCCGGGCCAACTTTCATGCCAGCTGCCCGCAGCCCTTCCTGGTGCCAGGCCTGCCAGGCTCACGGTCAGGCTAGGCTCTGGGGGGCTCTCTGCATGTTGGCGCAGGGATGGGTACTGGGAGGAGGGGCAGTGTCTGTGTTGGGGCTGTCGGCCCAGCCCCTGTGCCCGGCAGGATTCAGGGACGTGGGGCAGGGCTCAGGCGCCTGGAGACAGCCCTCCCTCCCTCTGAGGCTGACAGGGTGGAACTTGGGTGGGAAGGCGAAGTGGGCAGAACAAAGGAGACGTTCTCAGGCCACATTGTATGTATGACCATGGGCTTTATTGTAAACAGGGAGACCCAGCAGAGTGGGGGCGCTGGGGAAGCTGTGAGGCTGCCCAGGGAGATGCAGCCTGTCACCACTGGGGTGCAGAAGGCAGGGGACGGAGGCCGCACAGTAAGTCCACAGCGAGTGAGAGGCCCCGGGGCCCATCTGTTCCTCAGAAGCCACAGGCATCCAGGCCTCCAGAGCAGCCAAGCAGGGATTGGGTCTTTGCCGAGGGCGGTGAGGACACCGGCCGATTAGACACGCAGGGGAGGGGAGAGCTGCCTGCGAGGAGCTGCCTTCTCCCCCGGCGAAGTGGAGAGACAAGTGGGGAGAAGGGTGCAAGACGGTAAAGGCTCGCAGCAGTGGCTCGGGCGGGCCGGGCAGCTGGTTCCCGGAGCCCTTCCTCTCTCGTGGGGGACAGCTCGAAAGGGCGTCTTTACACAGTGGTGGCGCTACTTGAAGCCCATGGAGCGGCCCGCTGCCGCAGCTCTGGCCGCAGGGCGCGCACAGCCCGGTGCTCACCGCCAGGTTCCCGGTGCACGCACGGGGCGCTGCAGACGCTGCTGGTCACAGGCCGGGAGCTCGACACGCAGAGGTCCCCGCACACAACCCCGCCCCGGGAGCTGCTGACACCTGCGGGAGGAGGACAGGGTTCAGTCCCGGGCGGGTGAAGTCATATCCGTGGCCCCTGCCTGCTGGCCAGAGCCCTCTTCTCTTGCTCGGAGCTTCTCCGCTCGGTTTCCATCCGCTGCCCGCTCAAACACCTTCACACCTGGGCACTCCTTCCTGCAGTCCAACCTCAAGTATCTTGATACACTGTTGGCCCAGGCCCTCTCTGTAGGCAGAAGTGCAGTCATGCATCTCTCCACGATGGGACACCTTGGGAGATTTCATCGTTGTGGGAACCTCAGGGTGCACTGATGTGGACCCAGATGGTGTCGCCCACTACACACCTGGCCTTTGCCCTAGGCTGCAACCCATTTGGCACATCACTATGCTGAATACGTAGGCCACTGTAACACAGCGGTAAGTATTCATATATCTAGACATAGCTAAACATAGAAAAGGTACAGTCAAAACTTGCTATTATAATCTTATGGAACCACTGTCCTATATTCGGTCAGTTGTCCTAAACGTCATTATGCAGCACATGGCTGTAGCTACCTAAGTTACCATAATCACTCACTGCCTTACCGCCTCTTTCCTTTTAGGGTCTGCAAACTATGGCCACATGCTGGTTTCCTGTTTTGTAAATAAAGTTTTATTGGAACCCACGCATGACTATTTGTTTAAGGGTTGCCTGCAGCCGCAGCTGCTTTCACATTACACAACAGTGTTGAGTAGTTGACACAGAGACTGCATGGCCCATGAGCCTACAATATTTAATATCTGATGCTTTAAGAAAAAATTTGCCTGCCTAGACCCCACACGTTTATTTCTGAGCCCCCAGTACAGATACTTACAGACATTCACAGCACTAACGCCTTCACACAACCTTGTGGGAGAGCAAAGAGACAAAAATTAGTTGTGGGGAGCAAAGCTAATGAAGTCTGTTAATTTATTCAATTCCTTCCTCCAAGTAGCGTTGATGTGCATTAGAGGTCAAGAGCGTGCAGACAGGCTATGCTCCCGGCTCTTGCAGCAGGCCCCCTCCACCACCTTGGGGAGGCGGAGGACATCCCCTCCCTACACATGTGGTCCTCACCTCTGCTCCTCGCCCTCCAGCAGGCGCCTGTAGGTGGCGATCTCGATGTCCAGGCCCAGCTTGGAGTTCATCACCTCCTGGTACTCCTTGAGCAGGCAGGCCATGTCCTGCTTGGCCTTCTGCAGGGCGGCCTCCAGCTCAGCCAGCTTGCAGCGCGCGACGCTCAGGGCAGCCTCGCCCTGCTGCTCAGACTGGGTCACGGCAGCCTCCAGCTTGGAGTTCTGGGGGTCAGGGAAGGGCTATTAAGGTTCTGAATTCAGGGTCAAGTGGCCTCATCCATTTGTTAGGTCAGGGGTTACAAATTAGTGCTCCCAAGGAAGTTGGCACAGTGTCTTCAGTTTTGGAAATTTAACATAAAAATCCAGATTCATGGCTTCTTCTGAAAAGTCAGAGCATTTGGCCACACGGCGGGCGTTGAGGACGCAGATCTCCTGCAGGAGGTGGGGAGTGTAAGAGCTTCTTAGCCCAGGGCCCCTCTCTCAGCAGCCCACCCTCCCACAGTCATTCCCTGTCCCCTGCCCCTGCTTCCTCCAACAGCCCTGCTGTCTGAAGCCCCCCACTCCAAGTTGCCGTGTTCCCCATCTGCCTGGGGTCCTCTCTCTGCTCCTGAGGCCAGGGGCTTGAGGCTGGGAGGAGGAGGTAGACAGTGCACATCTGAGGCCCCAACTGGAACCTTCGGGTGTAGGACCAGAGTTCACCAACCTGGGAGAATTGTCACCATAGCAGGCATGGCAGGTGAGAGGTCTAGCTACACATCTTCACCTTCTCACAGTAAACCTGCCTTGGATCTCTCACTCTGCTCTATATTTCCCCCATCCTGCCATGGGCTTCAGAAGCTGAAATGATGACAGGTCCTTTCCGGTGTCTAACTCACATCCTCCTTGCTGCCCTGCTACTCTGGGGCCCCTCACCTCCTCATACAGTCGCCTTAAGAAGTGGATCTCCTGGGTCAGGGCCTCCATGTTGGCCTCCAGGTCGGATTTGCGTAGGTAGGCGCAGTCCACGTCCCAAAGGGGAGAAGATGGCACAGAGTCTCACTGGGGTACAACACAGAGCTTTTGGTTTTTCCCTACTAGGGAGGTGCACCCTGTCAGGCTGAGCAAATTCCCTGGAACCTTTCTTAGATGCCCATCCCAGCACCTGGTGTCATGGTGTGATGAGTACCTCCTTGCCATCAGTGGGGTGAGGAGCAAGTTCAGGTAAAGAAGGGGGACGCCAAGGTTTCTAGGCACTTCCTCTGTACCCACTGAGATGATTATCGCCCAAACTTAGGATCTAGTGTAAAATGGGTCAGTTCTAATGATGCCCCACCCCTCTCTGCTCTCACGGAAGGAAAGCTAGATCTGTGGTCAGAAAAAGAGGGTGCAGGGATCAACTCTGCCCCCTCTAAGCCAGTGTGACGCAGGGCAAGCACCTTAACCTCTGAGCCTCATTTCCTGCCGATAACCCCTGCCGTCCTCACCCTGAGGTGTTGGAAGGGCCCAGCGAGAGTCCCTGTGACGCCCTTGTGCAGAGCCAGGTTTGGGAGGGGATGAGTAATGGTTGCTGTTCACGCCAGCGTCTCCTAGCTGCTGCTGGCCTGGGGGTGTGGCCATTCCCTAGCATTCACAGATATTTACTGAATGTCCCCTCTATGCGGACACAGGAATGAAGGAAGTGGGAAGCCAGTGGCCAGATGGGGCAGAATATTGCCCTGCTTGCAGCAGGCAGCGTGCTGCGCTGACAAAGGCTGTCTGGCCATGTGACTTGAGGGAGTCGCTCAGCCTCTCAGAATTACAGAGATCTCCCTTCTACCTCTGCCCTTGGTTCTGAGTTAGGGGACAAGTATTCTGGGGTCACTCACCTTCTTCAGGACCACAAATTCATTCTCAGCAGTGGCCCTTAGTGCCACCTCCTCTTCATACCTGGGGCCAAAGCACACAAGTCTCAGATTTGGGGAGAAGAAAAGAGAATGAATTCCCAGACACGCATATTCCAGGAACTGGATCTTTTGGAGATGGCCATAGAATAAAAAAAGTGTGGGACTAGAAGGGACCGTATCCCTCCCTTTCTTCCAGGCATTCAAACCAACCTGTGTCACCCAAAGCTCTTCCTGTTTCAGAGACTCTTCTTCGTGACGTCAGTCAGCGGGGTGCCTGGCACATGTTCAAAGGCCTCCTCTTTGCTTCTGGACTGTAACTCCCCGGGGAGTTACAGTTCTGGTACTCTTTCTTTCCCCTCCTCCTTACTTTCTTACTCCTTCCCCACTCAGGGCCTAACATAGCATCTGGAACATCCAGTAGATGCTCAAAAATATTTGATGAATTAATGAAATAAATGCACAATGATGAGGTAGCTGGAGCAGCTCAGAATCTCTCCAGTGTTCTAAGTCCCAGTCAAAAAAAAAAAACCAACCCCCCAACAGGCTTATTGTCACTGCCTTCTTCCTATCGGGAAGTTCCTTTTGTGGTCTGACCTAAATCTATCTTGCTTTGACTCAATCTCATTATGTTTCTCCAAACCCTCCTTCCACTGTACTCACTTCTTCTTGTAGCCCTCCAGCACCTCTTGCACGTGGTTGAGCTCTGAGGACAGCCTCCCGCGGTCGGCTTCCACACACTCAGCCTCCCGCCTCAGCGTCTCGATGTAGCCATTGAACAGGGGCTCCAGGTTGCTCTCAGAGCACTCGCGGTTTTGTGGTTCTGGTAGAACTGCCACTTGGTCTCCAGCAGCTTGTTCTGCTGCTCCAGGAAGCGCACCTGGGGTGGAGGTGGGAGAAAAGTCGGTGGGAGGAGCCAATATCCCCAGCCTTCTTTGCAGAGCAGCCAGAGTCAAGACAGAGCTAGCAGTAAGATGTGCAGAGGCAAGGGGTGGACTGCACGGCCCCTGCTGGCCTCTCCCGGCCTGGGATGCACCTGGAGCATCCTTGTGTCATGATTGCATATTCGGGCCAGAGTGAGGGTCTGTCCAGGTGGGCCTGGATGGGATGAGTGAGAAGCTGAGAGGCATGCAGGCTGCACTGGGTTACTGTTGGACTAGGGGGACAGGTATGGGTAGGGGATAGTGACAGTCAGGGAAGGCTTCCTGGAGGAAAGGAATGCAGAGCAGTGTTGGGAGGAATAGAGTAGGAAGAAAGCCTTTCACTCTGAGCTCCCTCAGGGCAGGGCCCATGGCTTGTTGATTGATGGCCCCAGTGGCCAGCCCAGGGCTTGGCGAGCAGTTGGTTGAGTGGATGGTCAAGGTGGGAAGGGCTGCCTGGCTGGCCAGATCAAGGAGGCTGGCCTCTCACCAACAGGGCACCTGGGGCCTGGGGAGGCATGGGGGAGTGTAAAGTGTGGTCCTGGGTGGCCTAAACTCATATGTTGGATGCTATGTCATACATTTCTAGAGGCCAGGCAGTAAATGTGAGCGGAGGAAGGTTTGGGGACCTAGGGAGGGTGAGGACTGTAGGGAAGTGAGGCATGCACGGTTTTCCTGGGAATTACTCAAACTGGAGAGAGACCAGATGGCCAGAAAAGATATCAGCAAACAAAACTAGGTCCCTTGGCCTTGAGTTTTCTATTTCTCCTACATTTTAGCTAGAGATGAGATGTCTCCTTGCCTTTTAGCCCTGGGATCCTTTTCATTCAACTCCATGAGTGCAGCAGGGAATTCCCAGGTTGGAATTTCCAGAAATGGAGCATGGAGACTGCTGGTATTATATGGGATGATTGTAGGCAGCTTTGGCTCACAGGGTCTCATGGCTCCTTTGGCCCCCCATCTTCCCTTTCAAAGTCACAGCCAGCTCACACACTGCACCACACACAGCCCTGCGGGGAAGAACACTGGGGTGCAGAGGGGAAGTCACTGCCCAGTGGAGGAACTGTGTGAAGAGCCCAGGCCACCTGCTCCTGGGCCAGGGACTATGCCATATTGCTCTCCTTGGATACCTTTCCAGTGTGCAGAGCCTGCCAAGGCGAACCAGACCCTGCTGGAGGCAGTGGGGCAGCTGGGGACCCAAGCTTTGGACTTTCTAGCCCAGGGCTAGAGAACTGGAGAGGGCCTGGGCTTGGAGTCCTGCTCTGGCACCCACTCTGTGTGGGCGCTTGGGTGGGTCCCTGGCCCTAGCCCTGCCTCCTTTCTCTCTGTGTACACTCAAAGCACTGTGCTGGCAGTGGCATCAGTTCCCAAATGTAAACCCTTCACCAGCTGACTTCAGGATTCTGCCATCCCATATACTATTTTATGCATGATTTATCTATAAATGGATTCCCCTCATATTTACACTGCTGGGGCTAAAGGAGTAACTTCAGGCTACCACCAGAGTTGTAAAACCAATATGACTAGGCACACATAGAAGGAAGTTACAGAACACTAAATTCTAGCTGAAACTATTGTCCCAGACAGCTTTGAACCTGAGGCTTGCTCTGTTTATTAAAGGTTGGAGGAATCAAGTATCAGAGAGATGCTAAAGACATTAGCACCAAAGAGATTTTCTTCTTAATCTTAAGAATTGAAACAGATATGAAAGAAGAAGAATTTTCTCATCAGGTGTTTCAATGATATTCACTGCTATGGGTCCCTACCACCTAAACTGTCATATAAAATGCCAGCGGTCCCTATTCCCCATTTTTAGACAGACTGGCCTGGGAATTCCATCTCCTCCCAGGTTCAGGAAGGGTGTGATCCAGGACACCCACCTTGTCGATGAAGGCAGCGAACCTGCTGTTGAGGCACTTGATCTGCTCCTTCTCCTCGTGCTTGACGCACTGCGCGTTGGGGTCGATCTCCAGGTTGAGGGGCGTGAGGAGGGTCTCGTTGACCGACACGGTGGTGATGCAGGGGGGGCTGGGCCTGCACACACCGCCGGAGCGGTATCCGAAGCTGCGCCCGCAGGAGCCTGCGCGGAAGCCCCCGCAGAGGCTGTGGCTGCCAAAGTTGCCGGGGAGGCCGCGGTAGCAGGAGATGCCGCGGTAGGGGGCGGCGGTGATGCAGCAGCGGCCGGGCTGGGGCCCGCAGGCCGAGGCGCAGCTGAAGGCGCGGACCCCGCAGGGGGCCCGGGGGCAGGAGGACAGGCAGGACATGGTGCCGAGGCGGGGGCAGCGGCGGGCGTCTGGACCCCAATCACGCGCTGCGCGTTATATGCCCAACCGCGGGCCCAGGGAGGGAGCTCGCGGCCCCGGCGTTTACGAGCTTGGAGGGCTCAGCCCTCGCGCCTCGAGAGCGAGAATCAAACAAAGTGCGCCGGGCTGCCCGGCCGCCT